TAAGGGAGAGGCTAGGCGATGCTCAAAAGTAGCATTCAACCAATGTTGCAGAAGCCATAGTGGTCTAGAGAGAGTTGGTCCTTTGGGATTTTCAGAGAGACTTTTGAGTCTGGCAGAAGCATCACCAAGAGTATGGTAAAGATAGGCCAGCAGGAGTTTGCCTAAAGAAACATGTCGACCCTCATGAAGTTGAATGGCCAGAGGGACGAAACCTTTTGCCACTTGCAGAGACCCAGGGCAGAACAAATAGTAGAAAAGCTAGAGAGTGAGAAAAGCAATATGTTCTTCGTCAGAAACATCTTTGCTTGTTGTATCGTGATGATTTTCAATATATTGTGTGAGGCCAGCTTTGTCGAAGCGAAATTCATGCTCCGTCGACAAAGTGGGATCAAAAACTTCGCCCAAAGGAGACAAGTCAGTGATGGCTACCACGTCGAAAAGGATAGGCGTTAGCATCCCATAAGGAAATTGAAAAGTATTGGTCGAACCTTCCCAAAATAAGATCGATGTTGTGATCATACAGGGGTTAATTTTATAAGCATTTCTAGACAGCTGGATTGCTTCGAAGATGCCAGATGCTTCCCAAATAGACTTCTTTTTGGCTTGAACCCTGTCGATCTAAGCCAAATAGGCCGGATTTCTAGGAGTAGGGGTGGAACGGAAAGACTTGGTAGAGGGATCCACAAACTTGAAATCCAGCGTGAAATCTTGAGAGAATGTGAGGGGTTTCGCATGAGTGTGGCAAGGAAATAATCCCTCAACCTTTTTGGGAGCATTCTTTGAGCCTGGATACGGCCCATGGAAAGCATGGAGCTTTCCGGAAACTACAAACAGGATGAGCATTTGCTTTTTCCAGGTTATGATGGTGCTAGCGTCTGTAGATTTAGGTTGCGGAATAATCGACAAAAGTGTGGCATCTGTAAGAGTAAAGGTCATTGGGTTGGTACCAGTGGAAATGGAAGTGGAATCAGAAGCTGCCATTGTTGATATTCAGTAGAAAATGCGGGAAGTGAAAGAGTTTTTTGAACAAGAATAAGAGATGAAAGCAAAAAGAAGAAAAAAGTGTAACCCAAAAAGGGTATTTAAAGAAAAGTCACACACGTCGATCATTGACAAGTGGCACTAATCCAACGACGATGAAGCAGAGAAGTGGAAAAGTTTGTGGGGTTTATTCGAAAATTCATGCCTTAAAACCTAGGAGTGATCATGAGAAATGATGGAAGTGGCATGGGAAACTGTTGCGCAGAAAGTGGTCATGATTGTGCATGACGTCATCCCAAAAAAGGCGCGCAGTCGAAAACAAGGAAGAGAAAACGCCAAGATTCTCCCATCAACATGGCTCCGTCGAACATGGCGTTTTGGGGGAGATTTATTGACAAGCAATTTTCGACTAAGAGAATAAACCTAAAGTCATGGAAATTTATTTGGCTAAAGAGTCATAGAGTAGTGGAAAACAACAGAATATGTCGAAGAGGACGTCGACCAAATGAACTAGTCGAAGAATCTCCATTAATCAATGTGATTTGTTCATTTCCACTAGACTAATACCAAGCATCGTCAATTTTTTTATATTTCCAAATTTCACATAATGATGATAATTCATACAGTTTTGATATACTTGACAGAGAAGGACAGTGAATCAACTTCTGAGTTTATATTACGCATTTGATATTACGAATGAATTCATCCGTGTGGATGCACGAGTCTTCTAAATATTTATTTTTTAATATCTCTTATTTTACTTTTAATATAAATTAAAGATTGTTTTTTAGTATCTCTTATTTTTACAAAAAAAAAATAATTAAATATTTTTATCCTTAAATAAAATAATGGTTAAGACTAACAATTTCATCAAATCTTTTTATAACATTATGATTTTCTAAAATAGAAAAAATATTTAAAAAAAACAATTAACAATAACATAGATGAGAATATGAATGATAAAACAAAAGAAAATGATAAAATAAAAGAAAATAACTATTGTTAGAATTACTTATATTACTACCAACACAAAACAACTTTAATAGATCAAAAATAAGATGAAAGACAATATTCAAAAAATTAAGATATTAGTCACTTTATTTGATGGTTGGTTTTTTATTCTTTTTTATTTATCAGTCTATTTGATTATAAAACAACCCCTGTATTATTAAAAAGAAAACAATCACACATTATCTTATACTATCAACTAAAGATAAATTATTTACTTCATATAATTTATGAAATCTAAGCAATAGCATACTATAAATAGCTCTCACTATACAATTAATTTCTACTTTTCACAACGATTACTTTTCAAGAATTTTAATTTAAAAAAGTAACTCAAACAAAATCTAACATGACTTTTTATTTTCTTATTTTAAAAATAACTACTATTAAAATATTAACAGAATCGTGAAGTTATTCATCAAAATATTGAATATTAACGGAAATATTAAATTAATAATTAAAATATTAAATATTATCGGAAACATGAAGTTACTCATCAAAATATTGAATATTAATGAGAACATGAAGTTATTGATCAAAATATTTCATATTAACGGATATATGAAATTACTGATCAAGATATTGAATAATAATGGAAACATTAAATTACTAATCAAGATATTGAATAATAATAGAACAACTTTACTATTGGTTTAAATATTTTTGACAACAATTCCAAAATAAAAATTATATATATATATATATATATATATATATATATATATATATATATATATATATATATATATATATATATATATATATATATATATATATATATATATATATATATATATATATATATATATATATATATATATATATTGAAAGAATTATAAGTATCGATTTATTATCTCTTTAAAAAATTTCATTTTATTTTTATTATATTTTAGAAACAAATGTGTATATCATACTGGTCCCCGTGCGAACGCACGGGTATCCCACTAGTTGGATTCATTAAGGCAAAATCCATCAACTAAAAAAAAAACCTGATGAAGGATTCCTTGAAAAGTTCAGGATTAGTAATCCTTTTGAAAAGTTAAAATCGAATGGATTTGGTCTTATACATACGCGAGGAAGGAAATACTAAAAGAAAGAAGAAACAATCTTCTTATTTCTTTTATCACTTAGGAGCAGTGCGAGATGAAAGTCTCAAGCACGATTTTGAATGAGAGAAAGAAGTGAGGAATCCTCTTTTTGACTCTGACTCTCCCACTCCATTCGTTGTTTTTCTTTTTGTTACTTCAAAAGTAGCTTCTTCAGCTTCAGCCACTCGAATTTTGAATACTACTTTTTATTTCTCATCAAACGAATGACATCTTCTTCTAGAAATCCTAGTTATTCTTAGCATGATATTAGGGAACCTCATTGCTATTACCGAAACAAGCATGAAATGTATGCTTGCTTATTCGTCCATAGGTTAAATCGGATATGTAATTATTGGAATAATTGTTGGAGACTCAAATGGTGGATATGCAAGCATGATAACGTATACGTTGTTTTATATCTCCATGAATATATGAAATTTTGCTTGCATTGTGTTATTTGGTCTACGTACCAGAACTGATAACATTCGAGATTATGCAGGATTATACACGAAAGATCGTTTTTTGGCTCTCTCTCTTTAGCCCTATGTCTCTTATCTTTACGAGGTCTTCATCCACTAGCAGGTTTTTCGAAAAAATTTATTTATTCTTGTGTGGATGGCAAGCATGCCTATATTTCTTGGTTTCAATAGGACTTCTTACAAGCGTTATTTCTATCTATTATCATCTAAAAATAATTAAGTTATTAATGACTGGACGAAACCAAGAAATAAGTCCTCACGTGCGAAATTATAGAAGGTCTCCAGTAAGATCAAACAATTCCATCGAATTTAGTATGATTATATGTGTGATAGCATATAATATACTAGGAATATCAATGAACCCTATTATTGAAATTTCTCGGGATACCCTTTTTAGCTTTAGCTTCTACAATTTATTTCTTAGTTGACCTCTTATCTTACTAACTGAAATGAAATAATCAGTAGATTTGTTCCACCCTAAAATTGGAATGGGCTAAAGTTATGAACTTATAATCTATAATCTAATGATCAAATCGATTCCATGATTATAAGCTCATTCCATTTGTTAGGTAAGGGTATATTTTTTACATATCTATCATTATTTGTGACCTTATATCACCCTTGATCACTCCTTTTAGCTTCTATTGAATCGAGAAATATGTTTGATTGTCTCTTTATTTTGTTTTGATAGAATAAGATATCCATGGTTTCGGCTAATTCAAATCGAACCAATTGTATGGCCAACTCAAGCCTATATCACATCAGGATCAATAAAAATACTTAAAATCCACTTTTGTAATTTCTAATATATTCCATAAGATAGATATCATATTCAGAGAATATGATTCACTTTAAGGATGCCTTGGTGGTGAAATGGTAGACACACGAGACCTAAAAACTCATGCTAAACAGCGTGGAGGTTCGAGTCCTCTTCAAGGCATAATATTGAGATCTCTTATTGAATTGGAATAAGTTCTCCAGCAAGTCATGAAGTTTTGGTGAGCTTATCTATCTAATGAAATGAATGGAGAGTACATTTTGAAATCATCCCACCTTCAATCCCCCTAAACCAACAGATAAAGTACATTATATATTTGACTTTGGAGATTGGTGACTTACCCATTCAATGACTTTGGCACTCGACATTCAAAAAAATGGGTACTGTGTGCTCGGGTCGGGTGAATTCCAAAATATCCGCCTATGCCAACCTTTTTTCTCCTTTCAGAATAGGACAAGACCTATCCAAAAAGAAAGAAAATTTTGTACTTATTGGTCGTGAATATCTGAATAGGACAAATTACCATGTGGATCTCTTTATTTGCTTCAAAACAAGTAGGCTTGGTCAAAGACAATATGGATTATCAATATTAGGGGATCTTTCAATTGAGAAGATCCCTTAATATCGACTTGAGATGACGAGAAAGAAAGTATCTATTTTATTTCATTATTCAGTTAAACCAATTTTATTGGAACAGATAGTAACAACCATCTCATTTGGGAAAATCCATTTTTTTCTCAACAATGTCTTTGTGATTTGAGCCAATAGGGTTCTGTTAGATAGGAACAAATTTGATAAATATTGATAACTCTCGTATAGAGTATTAAAACGAAAAAATGCATTTGATACTGAACTATTGGTTCTAAACCATCTTTGGAGATCAATCAACAATTTGAAAATTTGTTCTTGCATATTCTTCCTAAACTAGCATTTATTTAGATATTCCCAATAAAAAATTTGGTTTGGGAAGTCAAAAGTATCCTTGACGTCTCTTCATTTGGAGAAAAATCTCGATGTGAAAACACATATCCAAAATGTTCCTCTTAGAATAGCAAAAACAATGGATTTGTGGGGTCCTGGATGAATTGGCTTATTCGAAAAAAGCCTTGTTCGTTAGAAAATCTTGCTTGGGTTTGGTCTTGCATGGTTTTATCCTGCAAGAACTGCGAATCATTATCATTCTCTTGAAGCTCACCCTCTTCATCATAATCATCAAGGATCTTTTTGTCCTAAAATGACCCTTTCAATAGTGAAATCTCAATTCATTGGACCCTTCGTTAAAGAGAAAGCCCCAAGAGCGCCATAGTCTAGGAGCCCAAAGTTTGTGATTGAATAAATCCTCCTCTAGAGGTTGTGGGTCGAATACTCATTCCTCTTCTTTGAATCCCGATTCATATTTTTCATAGAGAAATTTATGATCAACTATAGAAGAAGACCCATTTTGAATCATATTTAAGGGATTTCTTGGTTCAGACCGAAGAAGCAATGCCATGCCATCATTATCAAACCGACTTCCTGTCTGTGAGGGTTCCAGCAGAGCACCTTCTATTTCTAATAGCCCATGAACTAGATCATAATCATTCTCAACGAGTCTATAAGAAGTGATCCCATCATTTTTTGTTAGGTTGGGTAGAGACCAAAGATCTTGAGCGACCGATCCGGCATAACAACTCAAAAGATAAAGAAGTATAGTTAATTTCTTCATGCTTGTTCCAAGTTTGAAGTACCATTTGTACAAATAAGAATCCCCTTCTGCACATTATTTCTTCTTTATATAGATAGGTATAGGATCAATAGAGAAATTACTTAGAAGTATATTTTGTGAAACAACCCTCCCTATATGATAAAAAAGGATCCCATGATCCTGAATTGCTCTTATCTGAGATCTAAAATCCCAAGTTTTTCTATGAAGAGTAGATCTAATTATATTAGTGTCTATAATAGATTTATTTTGTATAATACTAATTGATAGCGCCTCATTAGTAAGTGCTACAAGATATCGTACATTAGAACCCGAAGTTATAAACCCCAATCCATTAGTATTGAATATTTGCTTTTCCAAGTGAAATCCCCTAGTATATGAAAAAGTAAAAAAGTGTTTTCTTTGTTGTGGAATAATAAGCCTCTGTATCTTAATGCATGTATTTAATTTATTCGGAGCTATTAAAGCAGGGTCTACTTTTTTTGAAATATGAGTAGAAGCAATAACTAGAATATTTCTATTAGAACCTTTTTCTGAATCGCTGGAAAGAGAGTTCATTAATATACTCAGTGATAAGTCATTCAACTCATTCCAATCCAGATCATGAATGTTTGGAATCCAAATTATGCAATGAGACTTTTCTTTTGCTAATTCAAATTGAAGCATAAGATAAAACCGGTATATTTCCATCAGATCGCTAGATATCATATCCTCCATACTTAGAAACTTCAACTGTCTATCAAGCTTACGGTCGAGATCTTCAATATCATCCCTTTCATAATTCTCATAATTATAGCAACTACCCTTGTTATTAGGTAAAAGACTGTAAATGGTAACCCTCTCTTTCATCAAACATGTTGTCCTCATTATCATCACTATTAAAACCCTTATGAAAGTTATCCAGAAACTTGTTTACGAATATTGTAATGAAAGTAACATAGGTTGTTGTCGCTAGATATTTGAGCAAATAGGATCGTCCGATTCCTATCTAAGTTATCACTAAAATACCCTTAGCAGGGGATAGGGCTAAGCATAACGAAAAGGGTTTCCCATGAGATGGGAAATCCAAACAACTAGCCCTACACAAGATTTCTGAATAAGTGACTGTCTGATAATGAGCAAGGAATACTTGTCTTTCTGGTAATTAGGATGTATTGAACTCATAATTCATCGAATCCTTTTTATGAATGTAAATTCAATATCGTAAGTAAATTGTTCTTGGTTGCTCAATAATTTAATAACCAGAGTTATTCTTTGATAACTGATCACTATTAGTCAGACTCAATAAAACTTGATTCAACCTTTTTTTTGTCGGTAGAGAACTGAACCAAGAATTATCTTTCTTTATCAGCAAAAGAAGTATTGGAATAGATACTCATACATAATGAGTCACCAGGGACCCGATTTAAACTGGTGACACGAGGATTTTCAGTCCTCTGCTCTACTGGTGAGCTATCCCGACCCTTAAAATCTTGATGCACCATCCTAATTTGAGGGAAATTACTTGAGTCTATGCCAACTCAATAAAAAAGGGCCATAAAAATGAGCAAATTGAATCGGCTTTTGGGGATAAAGGGACTTGAACCCTTACGATTTCTAAAGTTGACGGATTTTCCTATTACTAAAAATTTCATTGATGTCGGTATTGACATGTAGAATGAAACTTTATCTTTATTCTCGTATGATTAATCAGTTATTCAAAAGATCCATCAGATTTTGGTGGATTGACTTATTTGATCAATGAATATTCACCATTTTTTCTTCCAGTTGGAATTTATTTGATTCTAATGTTTCAATTGTGATCGAATAATAAAAAAATATTTACAATTTACAAATAGAAATTAGAAATCTTCATTAATCAATTGAATCTTGTCAACTCCATTTGTTAGAACAACTTCCATTGAGTCTCTGCACCTATCCTTTTTTTATTTGAACTTTCTAAACTTTTATTTATTTTTTGTTTTCAGAAAGAAGGATTTGGCTCATGATTGCCCATTTTTAACTCCAGGGTTTCTCTGAATTTGAAAGTTTTCACTTAGTAGGTTTCCATACCAAGGCTCAATTCAATTAAGCCCGTAGCGTATACCAATTTCTCCATATCCCCAGTTTTTTCTTTGAGATTAATATCATATCTCATTATGATGTTTTATCATTTGTATTATGAGAATTATATGTTGGAACTTTTGAATTTATTCGAAACCTATTCCCATATTGGGAAAAAATTGTTTTTTGTTAATTGATTTTCTTTCATCTATATCAGATACATATATTTAATCGTATCAGAAATGATTCTATTATCTCTATATTTGAAATTCAATATACAAATATATATACTACATATCTCTCTATTTTAGATGTCCATTTCTATCATCTTCGGGTAGAATTTAGAATACTCTAACGTTTTATATTCTTTTTTTTCTTCGATCTGATTTATCATTTATGGACGTAGACAAAATGTTTCTAAGCACCAAACAAGAGAAATTCAAGGGGGGCAAGAGAAATTCGAGGAGGACAAGAGAAATTCGAAGGGAGCAAGAGAAATTCGAGGAGGACAAGAGAAATTTGAGGGGGGCAAGAGAAATTTGAGGAGGGCAAGAGAAATTCTAGTTTAATTTTAAATTAGTTAAGACTATTAATAAATTCAATCATTGCTTTGTCCTTTATTCTAATGCGGGCAATAAACATTATTGTATTAAAATAAAAGGAGGCTTAGACTTATGCGAATGTGGAAAGATATTCAAACTCAACTTTTGAATTTTGTAGATGACCTTATGAGTAGAATAAAGATATTTGTGTGAAAAAGATATTTGGACATGTCTACAAGAAAATTATGTAAAGACTTACTTGAAATCTCACTCATAGGATTCTGTTGTGAAAGACAGAATTTTTTCTGAAGAATTGCCTACAGTTTTTTCTGAAGACTTCCCTTGGATCCATCCATAATATTATGCAAAATAGATACAAATTTTTTAAATTTAAGACTCCTCCTTAGTATCGCAAATAGGTCTGAAAGAGTATTTAAAAATATGAAATTTATATGTTTGTGCCCTGTCCAGGTAAGAAACAACAATATTATATACGGGTGTAATCGCTTCAATTTGGAGAGAGTTGAAAAAATACTCTTTCTTTTTCTTTTTCTTTGAAAGTTTCTATACATCTGCCCTTTTTCAAGGAATTTTTTAGAGGTTTTTTTCTCTTTTCAGATGGTAAAAATTTCTCATAATATAAAGTGTCAAGCAAATCCATGTTGGAATCGAAATCAAGATACTGATGGAAGTTCTTCCTTTTTTAGTCAGATAAATTAATAGCGGAAAGAGGTTGACAATAAGTTCTTTCAAATTTGACTATTTCTTCCTCTGTTAGAGGTGTTCCAGAAATGTCTGCAATCGAGTAAATAGATCTAGGAACACGAGTTGAAAAATGGAAATATTTGTACAAGTTATATACGTCATCACGACTTTGCGGAAAATTCTTCGATGTCAATATCTTAGAGACCTCTAACTCGCTTGGTGAAATAGTATCTTTGTTCATCTCATGTGATCTGACTCTAGGCACCATAGCCTATAAGCTTTGACTCTTTTAGGATATTCCATGAACATGTATTTCAGAGCTCTAGGTTCGACTTTGTCTTGCCTAATGTAAGCATAGGTTACGTAGCCACATACTCTCAATTTGTCGAGATCTGGTGGATGTTCCGACCAAACTTCTTCAGGTGTCTTCATATCTAATGCAATCGAAGGACATCTATTTATTAGATATGTTGATGTCGAAACAACCTCAACCCAGAACACCTTCTTCAACCCAGCACTAATCAACATGCATCTAAATCTCTCCAAAATAGTTCAATTAAACCTTTCAGTCAAACCATTTTTTTGTGGAGTACCTGGAGTAGCTTTGTGCCTTGCAATACCAGAGGCAGCACAAAAGTTGTTGAAAGCCTCATTGAAAAATTCAAGGTCATTGTCGATTCTCAACCTCTTAACCTTTCAGCCAGTTTGATTTTCGACCAGAGTCTTCCAACTTTTGAAATTCTCAAAAGTTTCATCCATAGTCTTCTGGATGAATACTCATAACTTTATAGAATAATCATTTACTATGGATAGAAAATACCTTACTCTTGAATGTGATAGACACCTTGTAGGCCTCCAAAGATCAGCATGGATGTAATCAAGGGATCCATGTGTTCTTTGTTTCACTACGCCAAAAAAGTTATTTAATAGCGCTTTTTATTTTTGATAGCGCTTAAAAGCGCTATTAATCCCGCCGCTATTGTAAACATTTTTGTTTAATAGCACTTTAAAAGCTCTATTAAAGTACCAGTTTTTAATAGCGTTTTTTCTTAAACACTATTGAAGTGGACATTTTGCGCTTTATAATACGTTTTTTTGATTTGATTTAATATTACTTTCAAACAAAACGCTATTATAGCGTACATGTTTGATGGCACTTTCAAACAAAGTGCTATTATAGGGCACAATTTTTTATAGCACTTAAAAAAAACGCTAATATATGACATGTGTTTGATATAATTTTCTCTTAAAAGTGTTATTATAAGATGTTTCATTAATATCACTCTATAAAACGATATTGTAGTACACTTTTATTTTGTTGTACACAATCATTCTTTTGGTGTGCAAATTTCAAAAAGCTACATTTCATTCAATACCAAATAACGCTTTAAATTACTCATTGCATACATATTATGATTCATCAATACCAAATAACATTTTAAACCAAATTCACTTGTTTACAAGGGCATTTACTAGTAAAATTTGTACTAAAAAAAAGAGGACATTTGAATAGTCAAATTTGTAGATACATGCATTCCAACTAAGAGTACTTCAATCCAAATCCCAAAGCAAACCGTCATATTCTCTAAACAAAACACCTAAAAAACAAAAAAGGACAACAAAACAACACTAAATAGTAACCACACTTCATGAACCAAAAACGCTGAACCCACAGATACAATCACTTAGCCAGACAAAATAACTACTTGTTTTCCTGTATCATAGAAAAAATATTGATTATGTATTGTACAATAAAAATTAATTCAAGATATATAGAATGATCAAACATTCACTACAACCAAACAAAAAAAGGAAAACAATATAGATATAAAAATGGATCAATATCTATGTCCATATAATAAATTATGCAGGTACTTAACCTAATAGAACTACAACAACATAAATTTACCATTAATAAGAAATAACCATAAAGGATAATGTGAGTTTTCAAATAGCCTAGATTATGATCAACACTTAAATAAAAGTATAATTATATAATCTCTTTATGTAATTACTTTAACAAAATTTACTATATACATGTATATGTATTATACTAATTATCATTAACTCTTTAATTATTGGGTATTTTCTTATACTATGCATCAGTTATATCAAATACCAGAATATTATTACTCTTTTATTCCGGTTTCACATATACTAAATGATCTGACCTGATCAGATTTGTACCGTCAAGGCTGGCTCCGAGCTGAAGTTTTGAACGAGGTGGGGGGGTACCTGCAAGGCACTCCGATGCTGAAGTAAGTAAGAGCACGAGCAGGCAAAGTGTGAGTATAAGTGATAGAATGAATACCTGACCCTCTGGAAACAGAGGGTATTTATAGCCCCCAGCGCTGGCCCAAGGTTCCTTCATTGGGCCGGGCAGGTTTGGCCCAAAGGAGGAAATTCCAGGTTCTACGTGCGTAGTGGGGACCCGCACGTGGTCCCCTTCCTAGATGTCCTGCGTGAAGTGCGGGCGGACAAGGACGCGGTCTTTTCGGGGTCTCGTTGAGAGTGCAGTGGACCGTGTCCGCTGTTGAAGGAGTGCTCGAGCTGAGGTCGAGCTGGATAGTACGAGGA